TCATCAAGAAGGACTTTTGTCCGTATCGTTCTCGTCTTCTTTTCCCGTCTTTTTTGAAGAAACTTGTTGCTTTTTCGATGAATCGCTGCTCCTGAATCCGCTTAGTTGGTACAAATTCGCAAAAAAAAAACTCTAATTGGTCACATTAATTTAAGTATTTGCTAAATGCTGGTAAGCTTAGACCTTGGGAAGTAGTACTGTTGTTGTGTAGTAGGTCAAGAGTTCAATTTCGTCGGTAGAACAGCCGAGTTCTCAAAGATTCGTTTATTCGTTTTGATGATAAATTGGTGATGACATACACCAAGAGCCAAACCCCGTCATCAACTTGTTCGTAAAAAAACCATTGAAAGCGGGAGCCTTTGACAACTTTGCCAGCGAGTGGTTGCTATCGGCACTTGCTACTACTTGGGCCACTTCCCGAATGTCCGCGCCTTTCATAACGAAGACTTCTGATTAGATTTGCTGGAGACTAACTTTTTTTTTGATTTACTGCGTGCTTCATCTGTGCGAGAAGAGGATGGAGGGCGAGATTTGCGCTTGCCTCGCTTCTCCTTCAGAACGACCACTTCTCGTAGCGAAAGACTGCGTTTTTTCTGCAAAAAAATTGCGCGTGTAGTTTAATCTCTCGCCGAATTGCTGCCAGTATATGAGTTTACAAAATTTAAAGTACATTCCTATGGAGAAATATGCTAAATTAATTGTTGCGATGAGGATAAAATCGCCCGCAAATGCAAATAAATAGCAATGCGTACCAGACTAGCCGGTGCGATCATGCGCCTTGTACAATTCAGCCCACCAAATAATTGCCTATTGCTGATTTTTACTGCTTTGTATTTTATTCTATGCAAAAATAGTTGAAACCTTGAAAAATAGTTAAAAATTTCACGCAGCAGCGTAACCTTGAAGGGTGAATTTCTTTTCTTGATTCCCGAGACAGTAGTTTACCCGCCAAAATTTTTACGAGACCGTAAATGATACTGGAGAGCGCAAAAACGCAGAATTTGAATTTGCAAGTGCGTACGTGGGCAAGGGGTCACTACTCCAAAATCTCAACTTCCTAGATCCTGTGGTTTTCGAGAGAATAATTTACCCGCAAAAACTTTCACAGGCCTGTAGGTGACACCCGAGAGGTCGGGAACGCTGAATATGAATTTGCAAGTTCGTACGTGGGCAAGGGGTCACTACTCCAAAATTTCAGTTTCCTAGATTTTGTGATTCCCGAGATAACAATTTACCCGTAAAAATTTTCGCGGGGCCGTAAGGTGACACCCGGGAGCGCGAGTAAAACTGGATTAGAATTTGCAAGTTCATTTGTGGACAAGGGGTCACAACCCTAAAATTTCAACTTCCTAGACTCCGTGGTTCCCGAGATAATAATTTATCCGTCAAAAATTTCCACGGGGCCGTACATGTTACCCGCGAGCAGGGGAAAGCTGAATTTAAATTTTCTGGGTAGCACATGGGCAAGTGCTTGCTCGCAAATTTTAGCCTTCTACCTTCCATGGTTCCCGTGATAATAATTTTACCGCTCAAACTTTTACGGGGCCGTACGTATTACCCGCGGGTACGGGAAGGCTGAATTTAAAATTGCGGAGTCACGCGTGGATGGGAAACGTTCCCCTAAGTTTTCAGTTTTCACTG